ATTCCGACACCTGATCACTCACTGAATGATCTACGTGTCTGCCCCAGACCAACGTTCAACATGATTTCCACGAACGGCCAGGTGTCTGAGCCTGTGAACGACGATGGCCGGAACAACGTCACCTCCCAGAAAGCTCGCGACATTCTGGAAGCCTGCAAGTGGAGGAACACGGCAGCTCTCCAGGCGCTGGCTGCCACGGATTGCGGCTTCATGACCGATGATCTCCGAAGGCAAGCATGTTAGTCGGCTGTCAAGACGTTGTCATCTGTCATCGGCTCCTTTGCGCTAACAAAGCTGTCGGACAGGGCCGGTCCTTTTAGGAGTGCCTTTCGAGAAGGATGACCTCGACGATACAGAAAAACCCCAGACGGGCGGTGATTGGAAAGAGCTGCCACGGCACAGAGACGAGGACCAGGTCCAGCTGGACGTTAATCGATCATTCATTTACTATCCCAATAGTCTGTCGTCCACCCGATTGATGTTGACGGTGTGCTGACGACAAGGGCACCGTAGACCAGACCGAAGCTGAACTCGATCGCCGCAAACGAGAGCTTTCCGACCTCATCACCGAAGTCCTCCGCCGCTATCCATACCTCTGCTACTTCCAAGGCTATCACGACATCTGTCAAGTCTTCCTGCTCGTCCTCTCGGCGCCGCTCCGCGCCCCTTCGCTTGCGCGCCTCTCCGCCCTCCGCATCCGCGACTTCATGCTGACGAGCCTCGACCCGACCGTCGACCAGCTCCGCCTGATCCCCGACATTCTCGCCGCCGCCGACCCCTCCCTCAAACACTACCTCGCCGGCACGGAGCCCTTCTACGCCCTCGCCGGCACCCTCACAATGTACGCCCACGATATCCAGGCCTACGGTGACATCGCCCGCCTCTTTGACGTCCTCCTCGCCCGCGAGCCCGTCTTCAGCGTCTACATGTTCGCCAGCATCGTCCTGTCGCGCCGCGACGAACTTCTCGAGCTCGCCCAGGACCCGGACAACGACCCGGCGCTCCTCCATCTCGCCCTCTCCAAAGTGCCCCAGCACATGGACCTCGAGCGCCTCATCGCCGACACGTCCGCCCTCTTCGCCGCCCACCCGCCGCGCTCCCTCCCGGCGTGGCGCCGCCGCATATCGGAGGCGAGCTGCCCCAAGACGGCGCGCGACCTCGACGCGTGCACCCGCCAAACGATGCAGGATGGCGAGGCCTTGTTCCACCGCCAGCTGGAGGAGCTGCGGGCCGCCGAGCGCCGGAAGAAGATCCTTGCCACGCTGTGGGCCTATCGCCGCGGCGCCGGCGCCGTGGGTGTCGCGGTGCTGGTCGGTCTCGCGGCGTTTTATCTGCGGAGGGCGACGGCCGGGAGCGGACCGCTGGGCGTCATTGGGACCTTCGTCACGCGGTGGACGAACGGCACGACTTGGACGTACAAATTTTAGCATCAAGATGACACAGGGGAAAAAAAAAAAAAGAATGAAATGAACAACATGAGATCCATTTTCTTCAGCGTGTGATTTACATCAAGGGTTTTTCATGTTTCGTATGGCTCGAGTGCCCGCATGCTTCTTCCCTAGGAAACTCATGCACACGTACGTGGCCACCATGCTGAGAAGAGCTCGTCCCCAAGAACCGCGTGGGACTCGATACCCTTGCTCCATGCCGTCGAATCCAGAACGCCATCGCCTCATTTATAAACAACATCAACAACAAACTGCTGCCAAGCCGTACTAGGCCGAGCACTACCATATTACGCGCCCTCCTGGAACGCAGCCTTCAAACCTTCAAAGTGCTCCTGTTGCTCCACCGCTAGCTTGCCGCTGACGTCGCTGATGATGGTCAGGATCAGCGAGTAGTTATTGTACAGGAACCTCTCGCGCTTGCGCTTGTCAGTGCCGAATGCCTGGCTGTGCTTGGTCAGGAATGCCTCCAGCTCTGAGCGCAGCCGGTTGAGGCTCGAGACGACAGGCTCATCGTCTCCAGCCTCGGTACTGAGGGAGAGAATGCCGTGAAGAAGCTGGCCGAAACGCTGCGTGATGAGATGAGGGGCTGCCGAAAGCTTGGCTTGCTCGCTAGCACGGGCGGCTCGGGCGGGGAGGGAGCCAGTCAGATGGCGGACCGATTCGCAGTGGTGGTCCATGACGACTTGCAGACGGGGCCAGAGGAGCATGTTGGTGCCGTTAATGTAGCCGTCCACTGTGGGCACTTTACGGCGTTGTAGCTGGAACGCAAGATGCTGGTTGATTCGAATGCTGAGGAGGAGGCCCAGCGCGTCGAACGTCTCGCCTGCGAGGGTTCGAGAGTATGCCTGGCCGAGGGCGAACGTCGGGTCGAATATGTATTTGAAGTGCTTGGACACGGTGGCCATGGACAATGCTGGGTAGAAAAAGGTTGCCAAGAAGCTATACTCAGCCGTGGCATTGTCGATGAGCGCTAGGTTGAAATTTCGGAACGGTATTTCGAGGTAGTGTGTAGCGGCGTCCTCTTCAGCAAGGTAAGAAGAGACGGCCGTCTGATTGCTTGTCGTCAAAAGGTCGATCCGACGGCCCAGATTGAAGGCGTCATGTGGTGGGCCGCTTGGCTTGGACCCTGACAGGACTGAGGCTTGACGTGTCGGAGTCTCCTGTCCCAACACGTCGGCCTTGTCTAGTACATGCAACTTCAACTTTTCCAAGGCTTTTTGGTAGTGTGTGAAGTGGTTGAGGTAGTACCACCTCATTGTGTTCATGTAAGCCTGGCAAATCTCCTCGGCCAGCTTAGCATGGTGTCGATACAAGAAGGCATAGAGGTCCTTAAACTTGATGAAGTTCTGTTGTTGGATTATCTGTGCGTTGATGTGAGGCGACCTTAGAGCCTTGATCTGGGCGACGATGAAATCTCGGATTCTCTCGACAGCCTTGAGAATGAGGTTCTCCAACAACGGCCCCATATCTGCCCACGCTTTGCTTTGCCGCGGGCTTGACGCATTGTTCTTGTAAGCCGTTGCTCTCTTGTCAAGTTCGGCCAACATCTTGATCCATGTCTCGTCAATATGGCCCTCGGAGATCTTGGACACGACGACTGGCGAGACACTCAGTTCCTCGACGACGGGCCCTAGTGCCTTTTCTACCGCCTTCCGGTTCTCCAACCGAACGGTGAGGGTTGACGATCGTGATTGCAAAGATTCGATATCAGCAGCGACGGTGGCAAGGTCGTTTCGGAAGTTCGTGAGGTTGGATTCCACCGAGTCTAGCACGCCATCGCAAGCTGCTATGGAGCGGTGCAGATCTTCGTATTTCGCCTTCTCCTTCTCATCTGTAGCCCACATGTTAGTCGTGAATATTTTGTTTGAGATCGCAGGATCTAGGCTGCGCGCATACACTCTTCGACCGTCTGGCGGCGTGGCGGCCCGCCGCGACCAAGTCTAGCTTCATCAACATTGGCGACAGCCAAGTCGCGCAACGACAAGCCTGCAAAGTCAGGTTCAAAATCGAGGTCGTCGAGAGAGATGCTCGTCGATGAGGCCGCGGTCTTGGATGACCCATCGGCTTCTGTAGCACCCAGGACCCTGTTCAAGATGTCAATCGCATTAGGACCATCGTGTGCCGTTTGGGATTGTTTCAGGCCGGAGCCATTCGTTTTGCGTGAAGACGCCAATAGAGAGGCCGATGAGTCGTTGGAGACTAGGGACAGGCTCGATCCGCGGGGAGTATTTCCTGGACGATGCGATGTGACATAGGGGCTGTATGCGCTGGATGTCCTCCTCGGAAGAGGAGAGTAGGGTCGGCTCGCAGGTTGCGATGATGATGGCGATGGGCTTGTCTGACCAGCGACCGAGAGCCGATCTAGCCACATTGTGGCCTCGTGGGTGTGCTTGCTACTGAGGTATAACAACAGCTGTGGGCAGCAGGGGCGAGCCTATAAAGAGCAACACAAGGGCATCTCGAGGTCGGCAGGCTTCGGTATCGTTATCGACCTTCAACTGGGCTGGCTGAGCTGTACGTGTCGGATAGTAAGGCAGGTCCCATACAAGCTGGAGCTCGGCAAGGCTGACTGGCCTCTGGAGGCAACCCTTTCTGATTGGCCTGCCATGCTGCAAGCCACAGTGAGCTGGAAGATCAGCAGAATGGCACGGGCCCTCTCCACCGACTCGAGGTGTGGCGCGGTGCAGTCTGTCAATGGTCGTACAAGCTTCATTTGGGAAGGTGGGGTTGATGGGGCCAGACCAAGACCAAACTGAACACTCGCACCTTGCACCCGCCTGTAGCACCACTCACTCGTTCACGCTTCGTGTGGTGATGGCGGCAGGGTGAAAGGGTAAGACCACGCTGAATCTGAGCGACTGGCGTGCCAGCTGGCAAGACAGACACACTCCCCAACGGTCAAGCACATTGCTACACATCAACTCGGCTTCTTTGCCGGCCAGAACACGCCGACTGGGGAGCTTCTCCTTTTCCTCATTCAGCATCCCACACCGAGTGAGTTGGACCTTTTGGCTTTGAAGCCTTTTGCTGACGAAGGGTGCGAGTGAAGGACGAAGCTGGAGCTTGAGTTCCGCCCCACGTTCCTCAAAGGCTGCGGTACAAATCCGTCTACGGGCCGTATGAATCACCCACCCTGAAGGACAGGTGATGGGGCGGGGTCGCTGCTTGTTCGTGCGGTACCTCAGTGCCATCGGCGGCAAACCGCACGAGAGAGGCTTCGGAGGGGCAACTGCTTGGGATCCGCACAGCCTGTCGTCCCATTCCAGGTCTAGGCCTGGCCGGGTGGGCGAAGAGGAAGGGGGCCCTGGGGAGGATAGCCTGTGTGTGTGGCCCGTCGTAGAGGCAAGCAGAGCCCAATAACAAATTCAGGGAAAAAAATTATATTCTCCCGCAGTGACTTCCTTTCCCCTCGATCCCCCTCCACTCGCATCTTCTTCCCTTCTTCATCCTCAAATCCCCCAGGACACCACCCGAGCTCCATTACCGCCGTCGAATTTCGTCGCATTCCTCCCTCTCTTTTTTTCTAGACAACCCCCAAGTCAATCCTTCAAAATGGCCGACGACGCTGCTGTGAGTACTACCCCTCCCTTCCCCTCTTCGTGGGCCGACAAGTCACTGTGCCCTGTGTTGTCTTGCGCGCGTGCTGCCGTGGGCTTGGACCGAATCCCACCCCGCATTGAGAAGAACCCCGCGACCCATCGACACAACCACAACACCGCCGCAAATCATCGCTCGCTCGATCCCGTTTGCACTCTGGCGCACTGGTTGAAGCATGGATGGGAAAATACTGCCATGGTCGCGTCGCGGGACCACTCGTGCGCCGGGGCATGCTGCATCGGCCTGTCCTCCGTGGCTCTCCTTCGGCCTCCCAGACTGAGGCCTCAGCTCAACGCAAACCCAGTCGCTAATCCTGTCCCGTCTTGTGTAGCACGAGCTCGAGTTCGACACCGTCGATGCCGGTGCCTCGACCACCTACCCCATGCAGTGCTCTGCTCTGCGCAAGAACGGTTTCGTCGTCATCAAGGGCCGCCCTTGCAAGATCATCGACATGTCGACCTCCAAGACCGGCAAGCACGGTCACGCCAAGGTCCACCTTGTCGCTACCGACATCTTCACCGGCAAGAAGCTTGAGGATCTCTCCCCCTCCACCCACAACATGGACGTCCCCAACGTCACCCGTCGCGAGTACCAGCTTGTAAGTTTGCCGTTCATAAAAACCGGTCGGTCACATCACATGACTAATACCACTCGCCTCAGCTTGACATCTCCGACGACGACTTCCTCTCCCTCATGGCCGATGATGGCGACATGAAGGACGATGTCCGCATGCCCGACGGCGAGATTGGTGACAAGATCAGGAAGCTCTTCCAGGAGGAGGAGAAGGACACCAGTAAGCTCTTCCCATGTCCTTTTCGGTGAATAGAACACAGGAGATTGACAAGGCATCCAGACGTCATTATCCTCACTGCCATGGGTGAGCAGTGCGCCATCGAGGCCAAGGAGGCTCCCCGCCAGTAAGCGTATGCATTACTATGACGGTGTGGACAGGTCAGCGCATCATGAGCATGTTGTCTTGCGCTGGCCGGCAGGATTGGTGACCTGAGGACGTAGTCCGGTGTTTCTTGGTCCACCGAATACCCACGGAATTACCCACGGGTTCTTGCGTAGAAGGGATCTCTGGACAGGAACTGATGATGCCGGTGACATGGACTCGGCAACTGCAAAGCGCCACCGCATGACTTCATTTTCCTTTGTTCCCGTCAGCCTTTCGTATTCTTCACGATCAGCCAGCTCTGGGAAGGCGACACAAATTAAGCAGCAGCTTGCGGTGGCGACCGATCTTTTCCAAACAATCCAAATAGTTTCTCCGTGACAAAAACCAGTTGAAAACACTCGATTGCTGAGATGTGCCTGCATATAATCCTGGACGCCTCGTCAGAAGTATGAAGAATCGATGCATCTTCTTTCTTCTTTGCGTTGTAGACATTGACTTGGAATGAAAAAGTTAGTCAATGGGTTATGGTTCGTCCAGTTTTAAGATGCTGCGGTACTGATGATTTGAACGGGCCTGCACTAGATTTCTCCACCTGCCATCTCAAGATAACGACAATAACAAGTAACAGCGTTCGAAGGCACCACCTTTCGCCGCGGCGCATCAAGTCTAATCTCATTTTCTTGAGAGTGATGCATAGATAGGAAAAAGGCCGACGTTCGATGGAGCACTGCAGTTGATGCCGGGCGCGCAGGCACGAGCAGATTTCAGTCGAGTTTTGCGTCGAAGCACAATTGTGAGTGCAGCCAGATCCTGAACACGAGATGGACGCAGAGGACACACGGGAATTCCACAAGTTTCCCAAGGGGGAGCGCTGCGTGGAATGCGGCTCCAAGAAGTGGTACTGGGACGGCGGTCGACGATACTGCCGCAGAGGCCACCAGGTCGAGGTAAGTACGCCTTCCGCATCCCGTCGAACCATGTCACTCACCAGAAATAGGGTGTCGTGCAGTTCGAGTTTGGCGATGACGAGTTTGGCGACACGGGCAAGGTCGCCCGCAAGGCCAAGGAGGTCCGTCAGCGCGAGAAGCAGAAGCTTGCCGGCAAGGCGGCGCGGGACCTCTATCTCGAGTGCGTACAACTTGTGCTGCGCCTCCAGGTTGACTGGCTCGTCAACGCGAAGGGCCACAAGGCCGAGCTCGAGACTGTTGTTCGAGATCTGTGGGACCTGCGGCTCCGCGGAAGCCCCGCGGCGGCAACTGAGGAGCAGATGCTGCACGACTCGACGTCTGAGGCAGAGCTCTCCGTGTTCAGCTCCCAGCCGACGAGCGAGCAGGACGAGAGCGGTTCAACGCTTCCGCATCGGAAGAAGAGAGCGAAAAGTTGGGCTTCGGATGCGGGCGATGGCTGGCCAGCGCCGCGGCTGCCAGATACGCTGGCGCTTTGCTACCTGGGGTGTCTGCTCCTGAGGGCGCCGACACGGATCGGTGACTTTGTTCGGTGGGCGAAGGGCGGTAACATCACGTACAAGCAGGCGGTAAGCAGCGACGAACATTTTACCTGGACAGCATGGGGCTGACTATTATGCCAGAGCCGCCAGATACCGCAGGAGATGTGGAACAGGTTACCAGCAACCCACCAGAAACAGTTTCAAGTGGCGGACCTGGCACGGTTTGACGACGGCGAGCTCCATTCATCTGTGATGAACCTGGCGCTCTCTTTTCACGCGAACTATGAAATGGTGTTCCCGCCCCTGAACGACGTCTTGATAACGCTTCAATATGTTAGGGAACTCGGTCTGCCAGGTTTGTCTGCTCACCTCTATCCTGCGCTCAATGGCAACTGACGCATGCAAGTTGAAATCGTGTCTGTTGCGCGACGAATACCACCGATCATGACTTTGGGATACTCGTTCCCCGTGGAGGCACCCAGAATCAGAGCGATACATCACCCTGAAATTCTACTGAGTTGCGTTATCGTCCTGGCAACGCAGTGGTGCTTTCCGTTTGAGCAGGTCTCCCTGCCTTCGCAAGACGACAACGTTCAGATTCCCAAACTAGATTGGGAAAAATGGCACGCAGTCATGTCACAGGCTGTGAAAGAGGCACAAGCAACATCGTCGACCAACTATCGGACCGCAACGGCGGCGGATATCACCTCCATGTCACCAGATGAACTGGACAGATATTTCACACATATGGCGCTGCACATCGAAAGCAAAGGTAGGAAAACGTCCGGACTCGAATCCAAGACAATGAGCTGATTCCATCCACAGACGAAAACGCATTCTTGGCCGAATTCTTTCCCATTGAAGACGCTCGACCGAAAGCTGCCGAGCCTGAGGAGGCTGACGATGCACTCAACAAGAGGTTGCAGAAAGTCCAGATCGAGGCGGCCAGTTTCGACGAGGAGAAAGAGAGCCAGTCATTAGGCACGAATCTGCGATACTTCTCCTACAGAACATTAGGGGACTTACCGCCCCACGGGCGAGCATTTTACGACCGGGCAGCTCAGCTTGCAGGCCTGTCGACGGAGTCCCTACTCAAGGCTGTGAATATGCTTGAGTTGCAGATCAGGGCATGGCGGCGGAGGCAGAGGAAACAGGCGACCAACACAGGCCAAATGGCAACAACAGACGCCGCAAACGCAACGTCAACAAGTGACGAGGTTCAGGACGATACAATTAATGGAGGACGTTGATAGCGAGACGCTGCAAAGACCTTACAAAACATCTGCAACTAATGATATTGAAAGACCAATTGAATGAGAAGAAAAACATCCTAGTGTCTCGTTCAGTGACTGTCGTTACCAAGGGCCTGGTAAGATGCTCAAGTAGATCATGAGATAGCTCGCGCGTCGGAGCTACGTCTACTGGGATGCACGGCACGACCTGTTGTGAGGCATTCCCACAGGCTTTGGTGTCGCGCAGCATTCTCACCCGGTACTGATTTATTGCCTGCTGCTCCACCGTGGTGTGCTGTACTTGTGCACCTGCCGGCCCCCACATCCATGTGACCACCCGAACACTCTCGGGGCATCCAACCCTAAGATTTTTTCTCAATCGGCAAGACAGGCGTCCCCACCAATTGTTCGTGAGAGCCGCGCAGCAGTGAACTTCATCGTCAACATCAATCACTCGCGAAAACCGGCAAGAGTAAGTCAAAATGCACCCTGCACGCTCGATGCACACATGACAGACATTCGAACAGAAATGCTGACAATTTCATAGTGCAGATGTGAGTTTCCCCGATCCCCGACGACTGAACGACGCACAATACGGCATCCAAGCGAGCCGCCACCACACCCCCCCTCCGAGATCGACGACAACTGACGACGATGCGACCAACAGTTTCGTCAAGACCCTGACGGGCAAGACCATCACCCTTGAGGTGGAGTCCTCCGACACCATCGACAATGTCAAGTCGAAGATCCAGGACAAGGAGGGTATCCCCCCCGACCAACAGCGCCTGATTTTCGCCGGCAAGCAGCTCGAGGATGGCCGCACTCTGTCCGACTACAACATCCAGAAGGTCAGTGAGAATGACGGGAATCCGAATATGAGGGGTAGTTCTTTTGCTTTCTGAGCAAGCAAGAGGGGGAAAGATTTATGAGACAGGACATGCTGCGGAAACACCCACAGAAACGGATACTAACACCCTCGAAGGAGTCCACCCTCCACCTGGTCCTCCGCCTCCGTGGTGGAATTATCGAGCCCTCGCTGAAGGCTCTTGCTTCCAAGTACAACTGCGACAAGCAGATCTGCCGCAAGTGCTACGTACGTTCCTCTCGCCAACAACGACCCCACACGGCAGACCATAATCTAACAAGTAGCTCAGGCCCGTCTTCCTCCCCGTGCGACCAACTGCCGCAAGCGCTCGTGCGGTCACACCAACCAGCTCCGCCCCAAGAAGAAGCTCAAATAGACGACTCGCTCGTATGTCATGGATATGGCGTCTGGGATTGGTTTCGGCATTCCGGCAGGGGATGGGATGGTGCAGGGGGCCCGAGAGTGCCCTTGGGTCATCTGGCTTTGTGGAGGCCTGCGCTCGATGATAAGACGAATCGCAGCAAATTGAGCATGCCGTAAAATTCATGATGAACCGTTTTGTCGCAATGTGAGGGGTTTGTGCACGTGCGAGCTGCTGAAGTGACCTCAAGTGCATACAATCTCGAATGACGAAGCTGCCAAACGTACTATAGCGCCATTGCCGTGGAATGACGAATACTCGTTAGCTCGATGAGCGCCCTGCTTGGCTTCCATCTTGCGCGACCACTCGCGGCTTGCCTCTGACCTGTACATCACGTTCACAGTACTGTGTTTGTGTGTGTGTGTGTGCTGGCGCCTAGTGGAGCTCTCGTCATATTTCGCCTATCTGCATACGTCCCTTTGACCCCACCTGTTATCTGCATTTCCAGATTACGACACCTTGCTCCTGAGCTCCAGGCCAGCTTCGACCTCTACCCGACTCGACATTCCCTTGCAACTACAGTCCCTACCCACGAAGCGCGCTCGCCACATTCGAAACGCGTGCAAGATTCAACAATGTCTGGCTCAGGATACGATGCGGTGGTCGACGTCGATGATGACGTGAGCTACCAACTCTTCGTGCCGTGAGCTGTTCCAGTGCTAACTTTACATCCTAGGGCGACCTTGGCCATACCGATCTCCAGGACGACCTCGAATTCCACTCGTCAAACTTCAACGACACAAATGCTGGTGGTCGCAAGTCAGCTCCATCAGCCGGTCTCCCTCCACCCGTGACAGCATCTTCATCCTCATCCAAGCGCTTCCTCTGGACGATATCGTTCTACGCCCAGTTCTTCGACGTTGACACATCTGCCGTGCTCTCCCGCTGCTGGGCTGCGCTGTACCCGCGCGCCAACTTCCTCGACGTCCTCGAGGGTAATCCCGATCTCTATGGGCCGTTCTGGATCGCTACGACTGTGGTCCTCATTCTCTTCCTCGGAGGCACCATCAGCGCGTACCTCGCCGACACGGGCGACCACCCTTTCGCCTACGACTTCAAGCTCCTGAGTGGTATGTAGACCCGAATGGCGCAGCTTCATGACACGGTCCATGGCTAACAGGCAATCTCAGGCGCCGCCGGACTTATCTACGGCTACACTCTCTTCATCCCCGTCGGCCTCTTCCTCGCCCTGCGGTACTTCGGCTCCGAGTCGGCCAACTTGCTCGAATGCTGGGCGCTCTATGGCTACTCCAACCTCATCTGGATACCCGTAGCCCTCATCAGCTGGTCGCCCATTACCATACTCAACTGGGTCTTCGTGGCTGTCGGGTTCGGCCTCTCAGTCGCCTTCTTGCTGCGCAACCTCTACCCCGTGCTCAGCGCCACCGACCGCCAGACGAGCAAGATTCTGCTCATCGTCGTTGTCGCCCTGCACCTGGGGCTGTCGTTGACCATCAAGATCCTGTTCTTCGCGCACGGGAGTCCCGTTGCAAGCCCTCCCAAGGGAGACGACAAGGGCGGCGCGGCCATGTTCCTTTTCTAAAGCAGTTGTGGTCAAGGGAGCGAGCAGGATGGATTTGAGTTATGATTGGGCGCCGGCTGCGCAGTCTGGCTAGAGGCCTTGTGTACTGTGTACAGTATTAGATCTATGATGTTTCCATACGCTCCTGGGAGGGACGATGTCCTACCACAAATGAGTGATCGACGCCCCGTAAACCTGTCCATCGTGGCGACAGTGCCACGCAGAGCACCAATACTGCGACTTACGAGCCCTTCTCCCAAATACAGACCATATTGCGTGACAAGTTGCCCGAATGTCGTCCTACCCGTAGGAAACACACGGCTGCAGTACTAGATATACATCAAACATTGCCCGACGCACCAGCCAGCGCCAAACCCAACATCGGGCACTCCTTCCACCAGCAGCAGCAGCAGCAGCGCACACAAGACGGAAACCGAGGGAAAGCCGCCTCACGGGTCCTGCGGCTTCTGCGCCCGGCCGCCGTTCTTCTCCCAGTCGAGCCAGCTGCCGGGGTACTCCCCGACGCCGGTCCAGCCAGCCTCCGTGGCCAGCGCCGCCGCCGCACGGCTGCGCACGCCGGCCTTGCAGTAGAAGACGAGCTCGCTGTTCTTGGCCGGCCTCTCGAAGCCGAAGCGGTCCTCAAACTCCTCGGCCGTCACGTGGAAGCTCTCGGGGTGTGTCGTGATGGGAATGTTGATCGCGCCGGGGATGTGGCCCGTCTGACGGACCTCGCCGGGCTCGCGCGTGTCTATCGGTTCTCTGCGTTAGCCCGCTGGTATGGTTGCTCGTTTCTCCAGATGGGTGTGCATGTGTGTGTGTGTGTGTGTGTGTGTGTACGCCAGGCTCGGGTACCTGAAGACAGATACTGGAGCACGGGGAGACGAAGGAGGAGGGGGACAAGGCAGCAAACGTACCGACGATGATGATGCCAGACTTGTTGCTGTCGACGGCGCGTTCCAGCTGGTCAAAGGTCCAGAGCTTGGTACCGCGGGCCGACGTCTCGTGGTATTCCTCGTCAGACGCCGTCGATGACGAGCTGGAGTACAGCCTGAACCGGGGATGCGTCGCCGGGCGGACGGCGAGACGAGTCTGGAAGGCGGATGTCGTCGCGGTGCTGCGCAAGCAATTGGCGTGTGATGCCGTGGTGGCGACGCATGGCCGCGCCGAACGGACGAGAGCTGTGCGGAGAAGGTGGGCGCTTTGGCGAGAGGTGGCCATGGCGAATGTGCACTTTTGGAATGCGACTGGGTTGAGACGTACAGTACAGGACTTAAGTATTGGCAGGTTCAAGTCTATCGTTGTTGGAGGGTGTTGAGCTTTGTCTGACAATCGGTCGAGGTCAATTCCGAGGCCCAGAGGCGGAAGCTCGAGAGGACCCGCTTTTGGCAGTTTCGTCATTGACCGGCGCTTTTGAACGCACCTGGCTGACATGACAACAAACCGCCGTCTAGGCAGCTCACTCGTACCAGGCGACACGTCCAACGATTATTCTCGAACTCTCATTCTCATTAACGACCTCATGCTGGATGCTCGCTCATCTACCCCAAAGTATCATACCCTGGCCTAAATAATCCTGGCTCGCCCTCCCCAGCGGCCTTCGCCGGGAGCGACGGAACCCCCGGGCTGCAGTGAAAATGGACATAAGCCCAGAAGAGAAGAAGGAAATGTATATACACGTAAATAGTGATTACAATTAGTGAAGAGCGTCCCCGTCATAGAATGGTCGTGTCTTTCAAGCCCCAGGGCCACGCGACCGGAGAAGCGTGGCGCTCCTGTTGTCGACCACTAGCAGTGGTTCGGGCTTGATCGTCTCACCAGTCATTGTGCACCGTCAGGCTGATCCGTCATCCTGAATCTTGGGCACCACCTGCCGGGTTTCGATTGGCGAAGGGCGTTCAGCCGCATCGTGGAGGTAGATCTGACAATCCAACCTCCCTTCTTACGCCGCAACGCGCTCCTTGAACGTCAGAGGACAATCATCCTAGAGGGCAAAAAGAGTCAGTTCTGCCGCTCCCACCAAACGCTTCTCTACTTTTTTATCTTGGACGTACCTTGGGGAAGATGGTGGCAAACACCTTGATCTCCTCAGACAGGGGGGTGGGGTGATGCGTCCACTCCAGCTGGAGCGCGGCCTTTCCGATCATCAGCGCCAGGTTCAGCTGCACGTACACCTGGCCGATGCAGTAGTGGGGACCTGTGCCGAAGACGAGGAAGTTCTTGGAGCCCTTGACCTCAGCGTCGCCCGTGTAGTAGCGCTCGGGGTCGAATTCGTCGGGCCTCTCGTACACCTCGGGGTCGCGGAGCGCGGGCCATACAGACGGGATGATCATGGAGCCTGGACGATATCAGCAACTGTTACGACGTCGCACGATCATGCAAAAACTCACCCTTGGGCACGGTGTACTCGGGAGTGACGGGGAAGGCCTTCTTGGCGACGTAGGGAACCATGATGACGGGAGGGCGGTAGCGAAGAAGCTCACGGACGACGGCACGGGTGTACTTGAGCGACTCCAGCTGCTCCAGGTTAAGCTCGGCGTGGATGTCGCCGTTGCGGACCTTCAGGTTCTCCTCGCGGATACGGTCAAGGATATCAGGGCGCTGGGCCATGATCTGGAAGAGCCACGTCGCGGCACTGCTGGTGGCGTCCTGAGAGGCGAAGAGGAAGGTGAAGATGGTCTTGGCAATCTCGTCGTCGCTGAATTCACGAAGGTAGGGCATGGGCTTGGTCAGACCCTCGGCCTGGCCAGCAGCCTCAGCGTCGCGGTACTTCTTGGACTCCTGAATGGCCTTGACCCAGCCGTCGATGAGCGAGTTGACTTCGCCGCCGGCAGCCATGCGAACCTTGCTCTTGGCGGAGCACTTGGCGAACTCGGCCAGGACCATATCGGCAGCCTTCTTTCCGTACCAGGTGCGGGTGTACGGAATGATGACAGGGAAGTTGACGAGCTCGAGGGCGGCGGTGATGAGGTAGTAGTCGTTGGCGATCTTGTCGACAGCATCGTCGGAAATGTAGTAGCCAACAAAGGTGCGCAGAGAGACGGCGCACATGAGGTTACGCAGCTCAGGCATGAAGGGGACAGGCTTGCCGCCAGCGTCCTTGGTGACCTTGAGGAAGCGGGCGAAGTAGTCGCGGTACACGCCCTCCTGACCAGGAAGGTACGAGTCGAGGGCCTGGCGAGTGAAGAGCTGGTTCAACCCCTTGCGGAAGTCAACGTGGGCCTTGCCGTCGAGGAAGACCCAGTTGTCATGTCCCAGGAGCTTGGGGGCGACATCGACGACGCAGGGGGCAACGTAGGAAGGCGAGTTGAAGATCTTGCGCGATAGATCACGGGTGGAAGCAATGACAACAAATCTGCAAAGAGGCGTACAGTCAGTGTATTGTCACGATGAGGGGTGCCGGTAGAAAAGAGGCAGACTGACTTGTGGAAGACGGAGACACAGCTCAGGGGACCGCTCGCCCACTTGGCCTGGTACTCCCAGAACTTGGGGTCCATGGAGGACAGGAAGGGGCCCATGAAGGGAATCTTCCATGCTGGGCCGACGATGGAGCCCTTACGAACGATATAGCCGACTACAAAAAAGTATTGGTCAGTCGAAAAGCTTCCCGGTAGGCAGTCGTGACTGCACAGCAACGACGATGCGGCAGGCGAGACATACTCTGATCGTACGCGACCAGGAGAGCGAGAACCGTGAAGACGATGGTCCAGACGCTGGCGTTGGAGACGGCCTCGATCACGCTGTCCACCTGTGGTGGGATGGAGACGCTGGCAAACTTTGCGTTCGCCAGAACGGAAGTGAAGGTCGTGTTGGCGTCCATGGCTGCGGGCTGTTGCGAACTGGAAGTCTGCTTTTCGGCGAAGCTGCTGAAGCGGCTTGCTTTGGTCGTTCGAGGTTGAGGTTGAGCGAAGGACGACCGCGAGCTCTCTCACTCTCTTTCTCTCTCTTTCTCTCTGGGCGCGACGAGTTGCGCGAGGGCAGATGTTCAACCAGAAGCAAGGCGCTGAGATTCAAAGGCACACACACGAAGGTCTCGTCGTGTGCTGTACACGACGCAACTGTGCAATGGGATTGCGGAAAGGAATGCGAAGGGGGTGGGTGGAGGAAACGGCACGGGGGGGGGAGGGGGCGGCGTTCGATGTTATCAGTTTTCCTTGGGAGGGACGACCTCACATGGAAGTAAGGCAAGTGGAAATGCAGACTTCTCGGAGCAGTCGCGACCCTACTGGGCACCACCGTCCACTTTGACTCAAACAGGCCTCACATTGTGCACACAGGGTCTGGCCTGGTCAGGGTAAGGTACCTACCCAGGTAGGTAGCCTGGGTGATCACCGTTCAGCTAACAGCACTTAGGTGGTGGCAGGCGGGAAACAAGGTGATGTATTCATTACTCAGCAGGAAGAAAACACTGCAATCAGGGCGGGAGCACGGGTCTCCACGACTGAGATTCCCGTCTTTCCACGGAGGATGGGGTAAGGTCGCAGCGGTGCAGCGGATGTTGCGGGTGGTGAACGGGCACAGTCGAAATTACCAGGTGCTCGATTGCGCAACGGACCAACAGGGCTGGCTCGGCGCGCTGTCAATTTTTTTGTTGGGTACACCCTAAGCGGCAGGCTGCGATGCAGCACGAGCCCGCGCACGAGCCAGCCTTCAGGGGATGGCCGGGCGACAAGGGACAAGGGACAAGGGGTGAGGAGGGGAGAGCGCGGACGGACCACTGTGGCCCTGCGATTCCTTCCTGCCAAGCGGACAGAGGACAGGGCCCTGGGAGGCTAAATTACCACGCCATCTCGTCCAATCTTGTCGGATGTCATTGGCCGATCATTCGAGGTGGTGCGAATTTGGTGGTGAAGTGCTGTGGCTGCCCAGTATCTTTTTTTTTCTGTTTTTCCATTTACGGCGCCGCGATTCACACGGGGGAGAAATTATGTCTGTCTGGTTGTGTCTCAGTCCCCTGCTTCCGTCAGTCACTTGGGCATCGAAGCAGCAACAACAGCGGTCGCAAATAGCAAGCAACAGTGCAGCATGTGCGTCGTTGTCAACAAGCATTGTTCGATCTGCCTTGCCAATTGATGTCATTTGACTTGATACAGAGTTCACCGCAGTTCGCTTCGTCCACCTCAGTACGACGTCAGTCACTTGACTAGGTAGTTACGGCATGAACGGGTAGGGATAAGGGGGGGTGGGAGGGGCGTGGCAGGCTCTCATGCCCACGAGGCACGTCATGGGAGTTTGGCCAGATTTGCACATGTCGCATCCGCCAGAGGAACGAACAACTTTGTACAAGAACAGGAACAGTCAGTCAAATGTTCGCTTTGTGCACGACCCGTCGATGCCGCCGCTTGAGATTGGAGCTCCCATTCGCCAATCACGCCTTTCCCTTCTCCCACACCGCCTGCCATCCAGCATACGAATACGAAAGAGTGGGACCTCCGGACCGTCCGGACAACGACGAGACGCCGTCTCGGCGTCAGAGACATTCTCGACTGCCTGAGTTGCTTTTGGCCTGGCTGTGCCGGACTCACTCGGGTCTCGGGCTCGAATGCGATAAAAAACGGGACCGGGCGCATTCGTCGTCTTCCTACAGCTCCGACCCGCCTCCCCAACCCAGTATTGATGGGTGAGCGGCCGATTTTTTCAATTTACACGTTCTTAGAGGGCAAACACGCACTGCACAGTAAGGGTATCTATCGTATTGGTCTAGTCTTGGCCCGACGCTCCGTCGTCTTCTTGTGATGCTGAGTGCCGGGCGTGCCGAATTTCAGTCCCGTCTCCAGTCTGACTTCCGTAATTTGCTCACATGGTAGCAACTCTTGTTACATCGCCTCGGCTTCAGTGTGCGTGTCAGTCTATCCCGTAAACGTAAGACTTCAACAGGTGACGCCGCTTAAAAGCTATCATTCAAGACGTCATCGTTCATCTTGACCATAGTGGGGCTGTATTCTGAGCTGTCGGGCTCAGCGCCGGCCGTCATCAAGATGTCGTCTACAATCCGCTTGCTAGCCTCCCGTGCTGAACGCAAAGAGAAAACAAACGCAATCAGCCTACGTGGAACCACAAGTCATGGGACAAAAACAAAACATACCGGGTGTCTGCAACAGCTTGGAGGGCGGCAGTGCAAACTGAATCGTCTTGGGCGGGCTCATGCCACCGAAAGCACCCTCGTCGCTGTCGCTGTCCCAGTCGATCTCATACTTCTGCCTTGTCACGGGGGCCTCGGTCGTAGTCGTCGTGTCGTCGTCCTGCGGGAAAAAGTCTTTCGTGCGCCGCGTCGAAGCAGGCGTCTGCACGCTGACGCCTGGCGTCCTAGGTCCGGCCGTCGCGGCGGCAAGTCGCTGACGCGCCGCCGACTTGACGGGGGACATGAAAGCCTCGCTCCGCAGCTTGGGCGCCTCCATTACGGGCGACGACATGGGCGAGTCCTGCCATGACGGAATGCCTTCCTTGCCCTTGCCCTTGCCTTGGCCTTCGTCTTCCTTTTTGAGCGGCGAGATGCGGTACTGGGGTCCCTTGTGCGGCGTCGCCTGGAGCCTGTAGGTTTTGTCGAGCATGCGATGGAGCAGCGGGTCCTTGTTTCCTCGTTGTATTGACTGCTGTGGCTGGGGGAGTAGCGAGCGCGGCGTCATGGACATGTCGGGCAGACGAGCAGTGTGCTGCGCAAAGAGCACAGTGGAGTCTTCTTCCTCAAGCTCGTCCCCATCGTCCTCGGCATCGGGCGCCGGCGGTTCACCCTTGAGCTCGCGCTTCAGCGCTTCATACGGTGATTCGAGGTTGGAGTAGTTGGCCTTGATGGTCCTGGTCGATGGGGCCCGCGGAGTGCTACCCGTGAGCTCGTCGTCGTTCAGGAGCGAAACATCCGTCTGGAAAGTCGACTCGCCGGCTGGCGTGTTTAGCGTCACATCATCTCGACCGCCAACGCGAGGCGTGTTGTAGACTCCCGTCAGGTCCTCTTGTACCGTCGTCTCTTCGGCGTTCGTGGTTTCGTCTTCGTCGTTCGCGAGCTCTTCGTAACCCGAGAGCGAGACATTGGCTGATGCTTCGAAGAATTGCTTCCAGAACTTGGATGCTTCCCAGACGTTCTTGGAGTGCTCACCGTATGATTCGACGACGGGTAGGATGCTCGTGGTGACGATACGGTGCGCCTTGCTGAAATTGTGGTCGATTTCTGAGCTTGTCAGCGCCGGTTGGCCCTGGGAGGCGGGGTGTCACTACCTTGAAGTGTCAATGTGATCGACTGCTCCAACTTCTCCAGCTCCTCCGTCAACGTCAGATTTCGGGGTGCCGCGCTTGGTCGTGACATGTTTGGTGGGGCGAGAAAGTTTCGTGGCTGCTTCTGTTGGCTTCTCGATGTGTGCGCAGCTTCGTGGTGTTTATTGTTGATGCATGTTGGAACTGGATGCAACCAGGACGCGATGCGGGGCAGCTCTCGGCAGCGCACCAGCAACCGCGGGGCATCTAGGCCCCTGCCCCCTGAACGCTCTGATTGAAGGTTGCTGTCCTGATCAACGTCTAAAATTCACACGACGTATCACATGTAATTATTGTCTGATGATTCTTTTTCACGTTAATTCTTCGTATTTATCAGTATTGCTTGGGTATCTTTCAAAAAAAGGAAAAAAAAAAAAAAAAAAAGGCACTACGTCTTCGAGTAGTAGTCAAACATGTCCAGCTTCAGCAAGAGCTGAGCAAGAGGACTTTCTTCGGTGACGCCATCCCCCGTCACTTCTTCCACTGTTGTGCCGCGTGCAGTCTGGCGACGCGGATTTGCATCCTTCTCTGCCATTCCCCTGCAAACGGTAAGAAAGACCTCGACGTTCTTCCTGAATGTTTGATATAACGAGACGGCACGAGAATTATCTGCGACCGCCCACGTTCCCCCGGCCTGGAGTCGCGCATACTTGGCGAAGCGCAATATGGTTCGGAAGATATCGTCCAGTAATTTTGCTACTGGTTGTTGTCGCTTGCGCAGCAACAATGCAGACAGTATCCTCTCAAGGACACGCGAATGATGTTCTCGGAGGCGGTCAGGGCTCAGGACGGTATCCGTTGTGTCCTCTTCCTGGCGGCTCAGTTGCGCTTCAACCTTGTTCAACTTCTCCTCGAAGTCCTGCCACGGCAGCTCAATGCCAACGTCAAAAAAGTAGCTGCTGACGGTGAAAATGAAGTGGCGGGCCTCGAAACAGAAACGAGTGGAGATGTCGTCCGGGTTCTCCCAACCTGATTCCCTCATTGTGATGTCGCGAAATAGACGGTCCACTGTGTAGAGCATGCGTAGGACGCGAAGCAGCGACTTGAAGATGCGATCGTACTGCACTAGAATCACCGGTGTAATTACCGGGGTCAGGGCAGCGGGAGTCTTATAAGCCAGTCGCAAAAAGTCAAGTGCCTCAAGCCCGTCGGGGTCCATACACTTTTCAATCTCCTCGCTCGACAGATCACGGACACCAAAGCTCAGGTCGCCTGGGAGGTGTGCAGACTCAGCAGCATGTCTAGTCGGCGCTGCGCCCAGTGGCTCGTAGCTTTCAACCAGGATTCCCATCAGGGCAAGACGAAGCTCTGAGCTTGCCGGCGGCCATGTGTCTCTGCCGCTCAACCGTAAGCCCATGACACCGCCTTGTCGAGCAATACCCGCCTCACGCTCTGCTGTCTCCATGTCAGGGTCGAATAAAGCATGTGTTAGCCGACTACAGAATGACCCGCCTCTGCAGAGATGGAAGTCACGCTGGACCTTAAGATGTGCCCTCAAGTTGTGAGCGTTGAACAACAATTTGAGGCTTTCTTTGCCGACAATTCGGGCCTGAGTCGCTATGATGGGGCCAAAAGATAAGACTGGCAGCAGCGACCAGTGTGGCGTGAACTCAAGCCCAAGCGTGTCTTTTGTCCCTGGCTCCTTGGCTTCCAAACAGGCCTTGAGAACCGTGGCCAGCGGGTCCTCTGCTGGAACCGCCTCTTGTAGCTGCGCAAGATTGTCCATTGAATCGAGAAGCCGGCTTCGCAGCTCTTCCTCGTTTGTGCTGAACATTTGAAGCTGATAGCCCCCAATATTGTTGGTTGGCATGGCAGCCACAGCGTCATCTCGCACTATGCGACTGCGTGATCGAATCTTGATAGCGTTGATCAGAGCATCTTCATAGGAGCGGACTGCTCGATCCACCTGGTAGATGGATTGCCAGTCAAAGTGCCATTTGATCGGGGGGGCTTCGATCGACGCTGCCATCGCGGACAAAAGCGGGTGGCTTGAGTGATTCGACTTGATGAAGCGAAGGTTCCGTCCTGTTTCAAACAGGCTCTGGACGACATCTTTCGGCATGAACGAAGGCATTCTCGCCAAGTCCAGGCGAAAATCCAGTTCCTCAACTTCGTCTCCGAAATCGTCGACGTAGGATTCAGCTTCTACCTTGATGAAACCCTTCTGCCGGCCAGCGTCGTGCTTGCTGAGGGGCACCCCGAGCTCTGCATATGTACCGATCCATTCCCCGAGGAACTCCAACCAAGGTCGACCCACGCTCTGGAGGACTTCTCGCATAATCGCTCCAAGGTGGCTATCACTGTATTCAGCAGCTTGGGCTTGCTGGAAGACAAGAGTGAGGACGTCTTCATCGATATGATCGCGCCGAATCTTGGAAATTAGCGATTTGAAATACAAAAGGATTGAAGAGACCCGGCGTATGAGAAACCGCAACTGCAATAACGATCGCGGTTTCTGCCCCGTGACCGACAAGTGACTTTGTATGACAAGAAGAATTCTGTCCAGAGCACTCGCCAACGCCACCCGGCAGGGACTTGGGTTTTTCGCGTATGTGTTATTGACGAATGCACGAAGCTCTCGTGAGCCGTTGCCGCAGTCACGACAGGTGCTGGAGACTCCTTCGAGCACCAGAGCCGAGTACCCGGATATCCTGATCTTGGCAAGAAGTGGCTTGAAGGAGCGAGATTCAGCCTGCCACGCAAAGAAGACGGATTCCCTGCCCAGGGCTAGAGACATCAGGGCGCTGCAGTATGCCTCAGCGTCCACTGTGGCGTGGTCATTGCTCTGAAGTCGAAGGGGATCTTCTTCAACTTCAAGCAGACTATCAAAAGCCCCAGGTCCAGCCTCCGTGATGAAGATGGGTGGCTTGCGCTCATCATCTGGGGTATCGAATGCATCCCATGTCTTATGTTCGGGTGCTTGCGGCGGTGGCTTTTTCAAGTCGAGCCATATATCCTCGTATCCATCGTTTCCGACATCCTCTTGCGTGCTGCGTACTTCTGGCACCTTTTCCACCTCCGAAAAGGGAGTCTCTACTACAGGCACGGGATCATCATCATTCTTCTGATCGAAAGCGGGGATTGCAATCAATGGTTTGGTTTCGATTGGCTGCAATTGAAATACGGCCGGCGGATCTGTGCTCAAAGATGCGTGTCAGTCGAGTCCTCTTGTAGTAGACGGTATACACACCATCGACATTGTACGTGAAGAACCGTCTGCTCGCCTCGGGTATGCCGTTGTCCAGAAGCTTGGACGCTCGCCAGAAATCAGGGATGGCGAAGACGTTGCCAGCATCGTCCTCATCAGTCATGGTGGAAGGAGCACTCAAATGAACTGCATCTGCGATTCATCCCCTACGAGCTGCATGCTCAAGGTACTTCTACCGGCGGGAAATGAATGTGAGGATACCAGTGTCGTGCCCGGCCGAGTTTTGCTCGGCAGTTTCGCGTGAGGAGGCGTGCGGTACTCTTGGGTGATGCTGCAGTGGCCAGAACCTTGCCCCGCGACGCGCGCTGACGTTCAGAGTCGCGTCAAATCGTTACTTGCTTTAGGGGCCCAGGCGGCTGTTCATTGGCGGGCGCATCGCCAATGAGTGGGCCGGTGATGGACGAAACCGTCGCAAGCCGCCAGAGCTTCAATCTACCCATCTTCATGTCATATCGACACTGCCGTTTCACAGTCCCTAGCTGCCTCCGCCTTACACCACCTACAGAAGACACGTACGAGCCAGAAACAGCTCACAGGCGTTTTTTTTACTCTAAACCGCCAGCTCCCATCCCCGGCCTTGACCGCTGAAAATGCCGCCGAAAAAAAGGGCCCGAGGCAGCACCGTCGCAACGCCGACACCAGCTCGAGATGACGATGCAATGGATGTTGATACACCTCAATTTGCCGATACGCCGACAGCCCCATCCAAAGAACCTGCCGTCTCGGACGAGGAGTGGCCCAACAACGCCTGGACGGACGATCAAGTCTGCTCCCTGTTCAAAGGTGTCGTCCGATGGAAGCCAGCAGGTAAACTCTTTCCCGCCCAACATCTGCCCCTTACAATTGACTTGTTGCTAACCAGATTCACCATCACAGGCATGCATAAACACTTCCGTATGATTGCAATCAGTGAGCACCTTCGGCACCACGCCATTGATCCAGCGGTCCATACCCATACCCGGATTCCACACATCTGGACGAAGCTGCGCACCTTCTACAACCTGGAGGCGATCGATTTGCGGGAAGACTTTTTCGATTCCCAGGAAGATGAGGACTACGAAGATCGGTTTCGAGAGTTCACGCTACCGGTTGGTGACTTCGAGGAGCACATGATGACACGCGTGCGTGCCCCTAGCGAAGCGCCCTCATCACCCCCCCAATTCGACCCAGAAAACCCTGCAGCCGGAGAGGCCGTGCCGACGCCAACGTCCGCGCCCTCGTCGCCTGAACCAGAGAAGGGCGTCAAAAAACGAAAGCGAGCGTCAACGGCTGCGTCGAAGACCCGGGCGAGCACTGTGGATGATACGGAAGACGAAAAGGACACGGCCTCACCGGCCCCCAAGAACGCAAGGACCTCGAGGAGCCAGAAGAGGGCGGCAGGCAAGGCGAAAGCCCGCAAGGCTGAGTCTACGGAGCCAGAGGAGGAAGAGGAAGAGGAGGAGGAGGAGGGCGACGAGGAGGAAGAAGATGAAGGGGACGACAGCGGCTCGCAAGAAGGGGAGGAGGAAGAGACGAGTGCCGAAGCCAGCGCTGCCGAGAGCGAGGCACCTTCAAGGTCGACAAGGGGAGGTGGTCGCGGCCGGGGAAGAGGCAGAGGCGGCCGAGGTCGTGGCCGTGGCCGTGGCCGGGGATAAGTTGAGTCGACGATCCTAACTGCTTGCGGACGAATGAAAGACGACGCGATTCGGAGATCAGGCCTGTTCCGCATCACCCACATAGATACCCAGCTTTACCAGTTTACCAACGGAGCGCCGCATGAGTCGGATTGAAACACCTGTGTAGTTTGGGGCCCCTGAACAGATGCTTGCTACAATGGCCCACGTCATGCAAGGGCCGAGCTAACAGAGCCTGTTTATACCTCCAGTCTTTAGTACCGGGATGCCTAGCTTGCGACGCCCTCGCAGTGGACTATTCGGGCGTCCAGGAACCGGCAAAATTGCACGTGATGCTGCTTGACCCTTCCATGGCAAGGTGGCGTCCTTCCATCGAGAACACATGCCTGACTGCTTGGTGCTGGGTGGTGCGGTACCGAATGGATTTTGCAAGGGCCATGGGTCGGGCAGGGCTCATAAGTGTTCCATGGCGTTTTGATTTGGAAGTGCAGATACCAGCTGCCACAACATCCAAGGCTCTTTGGAAAATCCCGCACAGCTGCCGGCGCCGTGAGGCATGGGGCCACCCACCAGAAGTACTGTATGTGTGTGTGTGTGTGTTGATGTGACGCTTACCGAAAACCCAAAGCCCAAAAGCCGCAACGGAACGCCGAGCGCTGAGGGCCGTTGGTAGCAAGGCGGCCGGCACGCGGTCACCAACAAAGGTGCTGGCTACAACAAGACCACTCAAGGTTGTTTGGCGGCCTGATGGAAAAAGTGACGTGTCATAAATTGGAGATCTGATGGACAATGGCAGGGTGACCACAGACGGCTGAGGCTCCGACGGAAATCACGGCTACCTAGTCCCAAAGAGAGGGATCCCTGCCAACCTGTGTGCTTGGAGGCCTTGGTCTCGACGTCGCCACGCGCTTCTCTGCAGCTGTGGTTGGTAGGCTTGACGACGGCGTCGGGGGTTGCATGATCTTCTCTGCGAAGACATGTCATGCCGTATGCCGGAAGGAGGACACAGCTCGAGTTGGTCGATGGTATTGGTTGAGAGAGATGCACAGCGAGTGACTCGCAGCGTTCACGCAGTCTTCACGGAACGTTAGGCGGTAAAGAAAAAAAAAAGATACTTGAACAGCCGGACAAGACCGTCAGCCAGCCCCTCGACCAGGGTTCGTGCCGCCGTCCTTGCTCACTGTACATGCAGCTTCGCGGGGGCGTCGCCAAGACAGGGTTGGCTATGTCGACTACCCAAGTGCGTCGTCGTAAAGAGTCAGTCAGGCTAGGTCAAAGCCATCGATGACGTTCTCTCTCAACGACAACATGGCGTGGCAGTCTGTGCCCTTTCCGGGCAAGCCATTCGTTCGTTGATGATTGAATGACATGGACGGGTCGATGGCTGGCTGGCTTGTGGCTTGCAGTACAACGCAGTTCTTCAGAACAGTGCTTGGGCCGCAGCCTCTTGAAAATGTCCTCTGAGCTTAATTCGTCGTCATGTTGAACAAGGGGGAGGCTATGCCCAGAACAGTTAAAGATGATTCGATTCGACCGCTGCCGGGGTGGGCTGAGTGCCTCCGATTGTCCCTTGTCCCACGCGTCGCCTCGGGGCCCCCCTCCCCTGCCCCGGAGATGGTGATCCATGCGCTGTTTCTAGCCCCCCGGAGCTTCTGTGAATCGTGCGCTGGGCCTTGCCCTGGCTGCTGCCCTGGCTACTGCCCTGGCTACTGCCCTGTCCAGCTGCCTGCCCCCTGCCAGTGTGCCCATTCCGCACCCGGCCAGAGCACTTCAAGCGCTTCACGTAGCTTGGAAGGTACCCAGGCTCACATGGCATGGCATCGGTACCTACCTGCCTTGTCAACCTATGTGCGTTGTATGTCGGGGGAAAGAAGAAAGTAAGAGTCACAGTTTCGAACAGACGTGCACGAACCCATGCGACTCTGCCGGCCTCAGTTCTACGGCTTTCACTTTCCAGTGCCCACGCACTCACTGGGCCACAGGACCCTCGAGCTGGCCCCGCCCGTTCCTCAAATCCCCCCCACCCCCTCAAGAGGTACCCCTACCCTTTCTACCTGCCTGGTCCCAACGTGAGCCACCTAGGTAGGTAGGTAGGTGTACCTGGGTACCTAGCCTAGGAAAGTAGCGAAGACCACATCAGACGGGACATCGGCCACGGACCTGAGTGCCCAACCGACCCCAACCTGCCTTACTCGGTAAGGGAGGTGCGAAGTAAACCCAACCTGATGAAGTCTTTTCTCTTCCCTCTAGCTCCCGTCTCAGCTTCTCGAGCTGGGTAAAGCTTTGCTCGGGACCTCGAGGTATCCAGGCTTCCTTGTCATTATTGGACGAGCAAAATCTGCCTGCTGACGCCTCGTGCCGTGAGATAATTTCGTGCCTGGTTGCTCCAATGCCCTCGAGAGACCACCAACCCCCAACGCCAATCCCCTACGCATCGGCCGACTTGCACCGTCACATCGCATTGCGCCGTCAGCTGGTCGCCATTCACTCGACCCCCTACTACGGCTGCACTTGCCATCGTCGCCGCAGCAGTCAGAGAGACCCTCCTTCGTCCTGGCGATACCTCACCTTCTGGAAGGCCCGCGCCCCTTCTCTCCCCCCTCCCCTCCCTCGGTTCACCAGTACAATGCTGGCAACAGAAGACAGGCGGCATCTCAGACCCGGCACCTCCCCTTCTCACCCGCCCCCGACGCTACTGGCTGCTTGCCCGAACTGCCCCCAAACTCGAGCTCGAACCTGAGCCTGAGCCGGATCTGGAGTCGGCGTCCCTGAGCCTGGCAGACTACCTAGGGCGTCATGGCCTTCCAGACCAACGTCTTCAGGGACGGTGAATGGCGGACAGAGACGGTTCACATCTCGACCATCTTGCAAAAGTCTGCTGCTACGCCTGCCGCCCCGACCCCAGTCTTGCCTGAAGCACCCGCCTGCGGTATCCTCACGCGCACACTTGTTCAAAGCCCCCTGGTACACTGGATCTTGCCGACTCATCTGCGCTCTGCTCGGTACAACGACGTTGCCTTTGTCGGGGATCATTATGTGCAAATCAACGAGCTAGGCGATGGTGGCGAGCTTCGAGAAGTCTTGCGCAAGGACGACTTTGGTGCCCGCATCCAGAATGCCCACGTCATCGGCAACACCTTCGAGCGCCTGGAGGCTGGGGACAGCGAGGTCGCATTTGGCCAGCTCAAAGAGGAGGACGACGAAGCACAGATGGATGCCAACCTCGGCCTGCGCCCCAGTCCTTCGTCCCATGCAGCCTTGCCACCGCATCTTCTGCTCCTGGTCCTCGCAAACGGCACTCTCGTCTTTCTCTTCGTCCGACGACTCGGCGAGCGGTTCGAGTTTGTTACGTCCGAGTTCCGCCATCCGGACGCTAGACTCGGTACGCTGGGCTATCATGCTGCCGTTGATCCCAAGTCGAGGTATATTGCAGTGGCAGATATGGAGAACACATTCGTCGTCTACGAGCTTCAATCGTGGGAGACCATGT